GGTTGTTCTTGGTTCTGAGCTGCGTGGCTCGCTGACGCTCGCGCACCGGGTCGGGCTCCAGCACAACATCCTGGTGCTGCTCTTCTCCAGCCTCGTCTGGTGGGTCTCCTTCGCCAGCCTCGGGCCGCTGCCCTCAGCCCTGCGGCCCCTGCTGTCCTGCCTGGTCGGGGGCGCCGGCTGCCTGCTCGCCCTGGGGTTGGATCACTTCTTTCAAATCAGGGAAGCTTTCCATCATCCTCGGTTGTCCAGCACCGCGGAGGAAAAAGTGCCTGTGATCAGACCCCGCAGGAGGTCCAGCTGCGTGTCGTTCGGGGAGACGCCGGCCGCTTACCAAGGCAGCTGCAAAATGTTCAGGAGACCGTCGTTGCCTTGCATTTCCAGAGAACAGGTACGTTAGCCGAAAGCCAGGTTGGCCGAGGAAGTGAGTGCGGTTTTGTCGCTTCAGTTCCTGAGCTGAATTTGCGTGTTTGAGAGCATGTTAACTTCCAGGATGGGAAAAAAAAGGTTTTCTTCTGGAAAGGATTCCTAAAATACAGGAGGCTTTTTAGAAATACAGAAGTACCTTTTCATTTGTGTGAAATAGACTAATTATATTGCACCTTTAAAGTACTTTGTTTATGCAATAGAGGAGTTATCAGAAGGATGAATTATTTGCGGTTTAATAGATTGACTACTCCCACTTTGGCATGCTCTGGTGTACGTCATTTTGGTGCCGTTTATCTGTTGCTGTTATAATGGTGATATCTCCCCAAAGGTAACATACAACCATTAGACTGAGTGAATAGACATTAACTTTAAGCAGTGTGATTTTACTATTTTTGATATTCGAGAGAAAGAATTTGAGATCTTATGAACATTGATGAACTTTGGAACTGCGACTTGTTAGTTGAGTTGAAAAGACTGTTGGAAATAATTTTTAAGAGATACCCCCCCAAACCAAATTCCAGCGGTATAGGCTAATACAATATTTTACAGACTAACTCATGGTGGTGTGTATTTGTTGCATAATGAGGAGAATGTTGTAATAATTTAACCTTTAAACTTATGTCTGGAAAGATGCCAAAAGCATGTCCAGTAGGTTTACATGTTTTTGTTTTTTAAAAGGAATTGAAACCATCATCATGGAACGAGCGTCTATATAGCCTTGGGAAATCTTACCTGTTCTACATCACCAAGAAACTCAACAAGTATAGCTATTCACTGATAGTAAATGCTTTACATATATTTTCCTAAATATATGTAAGTGCAAAATGCTTGACATATATTTTCTTTAATCTTCACAAGAACCCTATATGGTGGTGACATTCCCTAAATGTAGAGATGAGCCATATGAGTTTTTGAGAGATTACCCAACTTCACACATCTAGTAAGTGGCAGTGCTGGGATTTGAACCTAGATTTCTCAGTTTTAATTGTCGTGTTCTAAGCAACTAAAAGAATGAGTGTAGAGCTCTTATGTAGGCGAGTTGGAGTTTATAGCATTGGTTTTCAGACTTTTTGATTGGTGATATGTTTTACACTGGGACCCAGTATAACTTTTTTATTCTTACTACATCTGATGCTCTCTTCAAAGTAATCAACAAACCACTATATTGATTTTATGACATGTTTAACACTAACTCTGTAGTGCTCCAATGAGACCACACTTTGCTTCTTGAAACGTGTTTTTGTTTTTTTTTCAGAAACTGCTTTTGTGGTCTGTAATTATTTGGCCAAATACTTGAAAAAATTTGTTAAAAAATGTTATGCCTTTTGTTTTCTCATTTTACTGCCCGTGATAATAGTGTTTAGAAAAATCTGTATTAGAAGAGTTGTGATATTAACTGTAGAGCAAAGTAATATCAGCTGTTTTCTTAGCATGGCATGCCATTTAACAGTTGACTATATGTGAATAGACACCGGAAAAGTGTTTTAGCATAGTCTAATCACATTTGTAGATAATTTTCCTAAATTTAACAGCATTACAGTTTAACGAACTTTATTGTAATCTGTTGGTGTAGTCAATTGTGGCTGTGCTGTAAATGGAAAATTCTTGGTTTTCTTAATCCTACTCTGGTGCTTTTTCCATCACAGCAACCTTTTTCAACCTTTAATTGAGAGCAGTGTTGTTGTTCTAGGTAGCTTCACTTATTAGAAGCAGACACAGTTTGAGCTTTTAAGAAGGTCATATATTATACTTATTTGCATAGCCCATGGACACGGACATGGGGGGTGGGGATTGGGAGGAGGGAGGAAAGCAGAGGGCAATGGGAGATATTAACAATAAAAAACACATTTTAAAAAGTTTATTAATCCATTTTTTAAAAAAGGTCATATCTTAACGCAGAAAACTCTTATTCACATTCCACTATGAAAAGGAACATTTTTGGGGTCTTAAATATATGCTAATAGTTTAAGGCTTCCTACATTGTTACTTAATGTTCAGTGTCATTAAATAATACTACCTTGGCATTACTAAAAAATACTACGTATTTTTAATTTAACCGAGATTGTAATAAGGATTTTTATTTATGCTTATTCCTGTGAGTCTCTGGTTTTGTTTGCATGTATATGATGTTAAAGAAATGAAGAGGAAACCAGTGCTTTTATAGAAGTAAAAGATTGAGACTTTCTAATTTTCCAAGTGCTAAATTTTGTATATGACAAGTATAAAGTCTCTTCATTGTTTCAGAAAGTGAAGGGGAAACAGAAAGATATTGAGTAGAATCTGATATAGGGAGAAATGCTCTGGATTCATAGGTGGGGGATTGAGAGTAAGGTCTTGGCTCTACTGTGTAATCTTGGGAAAGTCAGTGAATCTCTGAATCTCAGTATCCTGCCAAATCAGGGATTCCAAAAGATGAATTCTGTAATAACTTCCCAGTTCTCGATTCCCTTCTTACAGTTGGTTTATACTTTTTGTAAGGTATGAATAAAAGTATAGCTAAAACATCACAGATTAGTACTTCTTGAAGTTTTACTTAAGTGTTGAATGTTGATATGACTAACCTGTGTTTTCCAAGGTGTAATGATGAGCAAATATTCTGTATTTTTTAATAGAGAACTTTAAAAATTATATGCAATTCATTTTTGGATTGATAACAAAATTATAATACTTTTATTTCCTGAAGAATTTTATAAACATCTTTGAAAAACAATCAAAACTCATGTCTATCTAAATATTTTTAAATTGAGAGTAGATTTAGAATAATTTTTAACTTTTGGAATGTTATGTTAGGTACCATGTTGAAAAATAATGGCTTATGTTTGCAAAACATTTAATTTTCATAATTAGATTTATAGTAGATATAAATGCTATATATGTCACGTATTAATTAAAGTTTTGTTGTTGTTGTTGCCAAGCATTTAGAGATTTAAAGTTTAAATCTAGTTACTGTTAACTGTATTTTGCCTTGGTGGGTTAATGGGAAGACATACTTAATTGTAGTATATTTGCCAGGAATCAGCTAAAACAAATAGGAAATTTTTTAAAGAATTAGTTGTCTACATAGATGCTTTGGCCAGAATTTAACAAATTACATTTCTAAGCCATTTTATTTGTATAGTCTATAATGAAAGTTTCAGCCAAATCATTTTATTTGTGATAGACTAGGTAAATACGAGGTTTTGAAAGTCATAAGTTAGTGTGTGAGATATTTTTCTATACCTAAAATGCTAAGTGCTTTCTAAATGGTTAGGTAAATATTTTAAAATTCTGTGGCCTTAAAGCCCATAAATATTATGTAAAGTGTTAATTTTATTTGAAAAAGGTGCACACATGTAGTATGAATGTGTTTAAAAATGATTTTAAAGTTTAGTGATTATTTAGCCCCTTAAGGAATTTGCAAGGCATATCTCATTATGAATTTAAGAATACTGTAGTATTTGTGACATTTATTTTGTGGTTTCAGTGAGTAGTGTTTCATTCTACTTTCACGTTAATATTTTGTGATAAAGTATCAGCCTATATCATAATTTTTTATGCTCTATTTTGTAAATATTGTATGTACTCTGCCATCGGAACCGTTATTCAAAAGCACAGATTTGATCAAATCCCTTGCCCTGTTTTAAAAACCTCTTACGGTTTTTTCATTGTCCACAGGATAAAGTGGACAATGACCTTGAACCTTGCTTGCAAAATCCTTTATAACATGCTCTTAGCTTTTTTGTTTGTTTTGTATTTTAAAAAGCCATCTAGGACTTAGGGACACTCCCTCCCCCATCCATCCTTGGCTATAACTATTTGTGGACTGCTTATTGTTATTGACCTGTAGGTATTTTTTTTTCTTTTGCTATTACTATTCACAGTTTGAAATCTGCTTATGGAACAAATTAGATTAAGAAGTTCTTAGACAGTACAGTGATATTCAAATTACTTGTATAAACTGAGAACAAACCTTCAATATAGCAAGTTGGCCATTTAAAAAAATAATAGTTGACAGATCATGTGATGTGTGATAGATTTTTATTATATCTCATGAAATAATAACAACTCCATAATTTATGTTTTCCCATACTGAGTGGAAAGTAAATAGGGCCAAACCTAAGTAGAACTGTAAAGTTTATTTTCATTGTCCTCTGACTTTTTATCCGCCTCAGTGGTGGGCCTTTCTCTGATTCTCTTTTTCTTTACCCTTGCAGTTACCAAGTTAGCCTGTTTCTCTAGCTATTCTCCTGCCTTCCTATCCCCCAACCAAAACAGGAAGAATCTATACTTGCTGAAAACATTTATTTCAACCTAAATGTGTTTATATAGATATAGAAGAGATAGATTCAGAGTTTATCTCATTGAAATCTGCTCATTTTATAGACAGGAAAGAAATTAAACTCAGAGAGGTAAAAATATTGTTTCTAAGTTATGGCGTGAGATATTTGGGATACAGGGACTAAAACCAAGCTAAGTCCTGCCATAAAGAGCATAAATAGCTGCAGTCATGGTTTTCCAAGGCTGTAACTAATTTTGTCAATTATCTGATAAATGACATCCCTGGTTAAAGGAGTTAGTGGGTGAAGATGGGAAAGCCAGAGAGACTCTTGAAATCACGAAGTTTATACAGACCTTGAGGATAAACTTGGTCTCTGATGTAGTTATTTCAGGGTGACTTGTCAGGATGCAGCTGGTGTCAAGCTCAAGTGCCTTCAGAGGTCAGTCACAATAACGTATTTATGTCGCATGCTGAAGAAGGAGGGAAGGATAAGAAGAATGGAAGTCCACTGATTATTGCCTACTTTGCCTAAGAACATTCAATTTAAACAAAACAAACTCAACAGTTGTGTTAGCCAAGCAAAACTTTAGGAGACCTGGGTTCTGTCTGTGGGTAGTTCCTGACAGTTTATAATATTGGGTTGGTGTTCACCTTGTTATTTAAAAGCTGACTCATATTTATTTACATGATTATTAGAAGGCTCT